GTCGAATACCAGTATATCCTTTCCCATTCTTATTTCACGCGCAGCTACTATATAATGGTCGATACCGGTACTAGTAGTAGTTCTAGTAATACTTGACCAAGTCTCTCTGGCCCAGTGCGTCTCTCGATCTGTGCCTGTGTGCGGGCATCGTGGTTCTCAGCAATAATCGGGTCAGAGTCGGCAACCCACCGAGCCTCCCAGGGACACATTTAGGCACTGATGAAGAGCGATACGAGTTAATTTCCCCAGCGGAAACCTCTGAAATTGGATGGATTGTTGTATCGAGTGTGACGGGATTGGGCGGCCAAAATCACTGGACGGCCACAGCAAGAAAACCTTCCAGCATGAGCTCGTCCATCTCGTTCCTGCTCCAGAGCTTCAGCCGCGCTGCGCAGCCGCAGCATGTCTCTGGGCGCGCGGCCCGCGGCCTCTTTGGCGGCAAGGACAAGCGCTTCGGCAACAACGTGTCCTTCTCGCAGCGCAAGACGCGCCGGTCGTGGAAGGTCAACCACCAGTGGAAGCACCTGTACAGCGAGGCGCTCGACGAGATGATCGGCCTCAACGTCACGACGCACACGATGCGCTGCGTGGACAAGGTCGGCGGCCTCGACAACTACCTCATGGGCATCACAAACTACGCCGAGCTCGGCGTCAAGGGCGGCGAAGCTCGGTTCCGCATCGCGCAGGCCCTCAAGGCCGCGCGCACGAAAGCGCCGGCGTCGTAAGTTTACCACCTCCTCAATTAGATAGCCTTGGACCATACAGTAGTAGCCGACGACCATTAATACGACACGCATGCCTGTCTGACCCTATCCAGGCGTTGCCCTTACGACACTGCGAGCTTGCAGCTGCACGTGTTGCCTCACATTGTACTGCGCTGGTAGAAGCCCACAGGACGCGAGAGGAAACCAAACCAAGTTATCTTGGGTATCGTCGACCCGGCGTGATGACCTTGCCGGCTAGCGTCAGCGCCAAGCTGCACAGGGATGCGCCTCAATCGCCATGTACAGGTAGCACGAGACAACGTCACGGTAGACGGCGAAGGCAGAGGGTTGGGCGAATCGCTCTGCTGGCACTACCGCGCGATCGCAGGCGCGTGGTATGACTGAAGCGACAAACCACCCCGAGCACGCACGATGCATGAGCCTTCGTGCCGCGCGGCCATGCTTCCGCGTCCGGGGTCGCAAGCATTATGACGCCATTTGATCCATCGCCCAAAAACGAGAGAATCTAGTAGCATCCCTCTTTCTTTGGTCGCCGGGTCAAGACTGCGGAGCCCACGGCTCGTTCTCGTCGCGTGTCGTCGTCGTCGTCAGCCAACCCAACAGTACACTGAACGCCTTGGATCGTTGCCGCCTTGCTGGTACCACGCACTGCCTTGAGCTCACGAGACCACGGCCAACAGTGCGCCAAAGAGCCCCAGAGCCCCCGTACGGTCGAGCGATATGCTCCGAGGACGGATGTCAAGAGACCGCGGACGCCTAAAGCTCGTCATCAACCATACTCCATCACGAATGCCTGCGCAAACTAGCTGCTTGCTCCAACCGCAGAGAGGATCTTCTTACTTCACAAGGTTTTTGCCGCTATCGCACCCGACGCCAATACCAACCATGGCACCAATCCACCAACCTGGTGTGGAAAGAGAATGAGCTTCGCGAGACGTTGTGATGGCGCTGTTTTGCAGACGCATTCCATAAGCTCGTTCGTAGGCTGTCGCCGTGCCCGCAACCATCCCCATCACCCTTCCTGCAGCGTCTCAGCTGGAGTCGACTCAGAGTCGTCGAATCTAATGACATGACACGATCGCGCTGCCCTGCTTCATGGCCGTCGTCGAGCAGCAGCATTTCTTCTACGCACCACCCCGAGGACCCGAACTTGCTTGTGAGCAGCCGAGTCCATAGTACACTCGAGGCATCCTCAACCGCTACGATTTACGCGCTGCGACAGCTCCGTTCCGCTGCCCGTGGCACCCATCCACGGATCGCACTTGGGAGCCGCCGCGACGGAACATGATAGTCTTCTCGCATCAATTTGCTCGTCGAAGTGAGGCGAATGACCCCACCATCACGTCTTTGTCCGCTCGCCTTCGTGGCCAAGAGTGACACGGTGCGGTGGCATCCTTTGGCGCGGCTGTCGACGTCATCCAATCGAGGACCACGATGCCGCATCCTTCCAAGCAATTCATCGTGGATGGCCAATGGCGCTCATCGCGGCTCGTCGCGTCCAGAGAGCTCTTCGTGTCGTGTTGCGCTTGCTGACGTGGCGATGCCAGATCGCATCTGCCGCCTTTCTCGAAAACACCTTTGATAAAGATTGGGTGCGTGGCATTAAATTCTTGTGGCGCGGCGGTTCTTTGTCCTCAGTGGATTTACAAAGACCGCAAAAGAGAGTGGGAGCGTGCGCTGGCAGCGAATCATGGCCGGGCGCGCCCATGCGAAGGCGCTCGCAGTTGGGTGCGTTTGACGCTGTCGCCCAAGCTACTTTTTTGCTTCGCTTTATCGACGGCGTCGTCGGCTTGGTCCTACACGCTCACATGTCGTCGACTTGTCGTGGATCATGCATCGCTTGCAGACGCCACTCGGGTCTCTCCCGCACCGGTCGACGGCGGCGGGCGAGGGATCGCAGGGATGTGCAACGGCAATGTGGGGATCCGCGCCGTGGTCATTCGCTTAAAAAGTGCAAGGCGCATAGCCAAGTTCAAGTGTCTGTTGGTATTATTTTGGTATCGGCAACGAAGTGATTTGTATTGTGTTCCTACGGCATTTAATGCATTTGATGTTTGTATGCAAAACCGCATGGCGTGAATAAAACCATCGCGGGGTGCGTTAAAGGCGAGGGAATCCGACGGGCGGCGCGCCTCTTGCAGGTCGTTCCGGTGTACTTTTCTAAGCGAATAACGGTTTGGCAATCGGGCAAGGTGAGCCAGATTCCTCATTTTCGAATTTGCTTTCCCGCAAACAAGTCGTCTACTACCATGCCCATCCAGTCGATCAAGGCCCGTCAGATCTTTGACTCGCGTGGCAACCCCACGGTCGAGGTCGACCTCGTCACCGAGAAGGGCCTCTTCCGCGCCGCCGTCCCGTCGGGCGCCTCGACCGGCGAGTTCGAGGCCCTTGAGCTCCGCGATGGCGGCAAGGACTACATGGGCAAGGGTGTCTTGACGGCCGTCAAGAACGTCAACGAGATCATCGCGCCCTCGCTCATCGGCAAGAACGAAGTCGAGCAGAAGGAGATCGACCAGTACATGGTTGAAGTCCTCGATGGCACGCAGAACGAATGGGGCTGGTGCAAGAAGAAGCTCGGCGCCAACTCGATCCTCGCCGTCTCGCTCGCCGTCTGCAAGGCCGGTGCCGCCGCCAAGAACGTGCCGCTCTGGCAGCACATTGCCGACCTCGCCGGCAACCCCACGCCGTGCCTCCCGGTGCCCTCGTTCAACATCATCAACGGTGGCTCGCACGCTGGCAACAAGCTCGCCATGCAGGAATTCATGATCCTCCCCGTCGGCGCCGCCTCGTTCACCGAGTCGATGAAGATCGGTTCGGAGGTCTACCACCACCTCAAGAAGGTCATCAACAAGCGCTACGGCTTGGACGCGACCGCCGTCGGTGACGAGGGTGGCTTCGCCCCCAACATTCTCGAGAACGGCGAGGCCATCAACCTCATCAAGGAGGCCATCGCCAACGCCGGCTACACCGACAAGGTCAACATCGGCATGGATGTTGCCGCCTCGGAGTTCTACACGGGCAAGGAAGACGCCCGCTACAACCTCGACTTCAAGGATGCTAACGCCCCGGAGGACCAGAAGATCTCGGCCGATGCGCTCATTGAAGTGTACAAGTCGTTCATCGACCAGTGCAAGGACTCGAGCCCGATCGTCTCGATCGAGGACCCCTTTGACCAGGACGACTGGGCTTCGTGGATCAAGTTCACGGAGGCCGTCGGCGACCATGTCCAGATTGTCGGTGACGATCTCACGGTCACCAACCCGACGCGCGTCAAGAAGGCCATTGAGACCAAGGCGTGCAACGCGCTCCTCCTCAAGGTCAACCAGATCGGTTCGATCTGGGAGTCGATCGAGGCCGTGACCATGTCGAAGAAGGCCGGCTGGGGCATCATGGCCTCGCACCGCTCGGGCGAAACCGAGGACTCGTTCATTGCGGACCTCGCCGTCGGCCTCAGCGCCGGCCAGATCAAGACGGGTGCCCCGTGCCGCTCGGAGCGCCTCGCCAAGTACAACCAGCTCCTCCGCATTGAGGAAGAGATGGGCGAGGCCGCTGTCTACGCCGGCAAGAACTTCCGCGACGTTGACGCCCTCGGCAAGTACTCGACCATCTAAATGCCTTATCCACTTTTGTTTTTGTCTTCTTCACTACTTTGTCAACCGCCCTTTCTTCATTGTGAGCGACTGCGACTTGAACGCCGAGTAGTGCTCGGTGCCGCCATAGACTTTAGGGTCAGCCGCAAAGCTTGTGAGGACACCAGACGTCACGGGCTTGGGGCTGCCGTACGTCGAGAACCACTGCTTGAGCGTCTGCACCTCGGTGGCCGCCGGCGCCGACGTTTTGGCTGCCTGGGCTTCCATCTCGGCGTCGACTTGGTCGATTTTTTGCTGCAATTGCAGGATCGCGGACTGGAGCTTGCGCAGCTCGCCGTTCTTTACGATGGCTTTGGCGACATCGGGCTGCTCGTAGTAGAGGAAGTAGCCCGGTTTCTTGGAGGCCGTGATCGCCGCCTCCAAGTTCTTGCACGTCTTTCGGCTGGCTTCGTTGAGCCCGTGCGGCCCCGTGAGTAGCTCGTGGAACCGGTCGGCGCGCTCCTTCTGCGCGAATAGGAGCTCTTCCTTCTTGGCCCGCAATGCCTCCATCGCAAGAATGACACGGCGTCGACAAAGATAGCTTTTGCCATAATGTAGCCAATCAAATCCATTCCCGTGAAAAAATAGCCAATCCAATGCGCCGCTCGATGCCATTGGCCGATATCGACATTGCATTTGCAAGCAGATGCCAGCCGTGACACCAGCGTCGTTCGCCGGCGCGGTCGCCCGCCTCGGCGTCGCCTCAGGGCGGTACGCCATCGCGCTCTCGGGCGGCGCCGACAGCACGTCGCTCCTGTGCCTCCTCAGCGAGTGGGCCCCCGAGCCCTCCAAGCAGCTGCTTGCGATCACGGTCGACCACGCGCTCCGCAAGGAGAGTGCAGACGAGGCGAGATATGTCGGAACGTTGGCCGCCAAATGCCATGTGCCCCATCAAATCCATACGGTGCGCTGGCCAATAGACAGGGCGCTTGCACGGAGTCAACTGCAAGTTCAAGCGCGTGTGAAGCGGTACGAGTTGCTTCACGAGGTGTGCGTCGCCGAGAAGCTCGATGGGCTCTTTGTCGGGCACAACCTCGGTGACCAGGCCGAGACGCTGCTCATGCGCCTTGGCCGCGGCAGCGGCTGGAGCGGCCTCGCTAGCATCCCGGGCAAAGCTCTCATCCCAATCGCGTCGGGCAGCACCGTGCCCCTTTATCGCCCGCTCCTTTCGTTTGAGAAGGACGACTTGAAGGACACGTGTCATCGCTTCAATATGCCGTGGGTCGAAGACCCTTCCAACGACTCGGACGCCTTTGACCGTATCCGCATCCGCAAGGTTTTCGAACGGACTTTTGCTGCAGGATCGTCACCCTAGAGCCACGCATTTAGGGCCTGCGCGATCTCAAGGCGACACCGGGCAATGCCGATGTCATGCAGCGGCTGCTTGCGATGCAAGAACACGCAGACGAGGTAGTCCTGCACGATTCATGTGTCATGGAACCTTGAATTTGCTTCTAGGCGCACGCAGACCTGGAACAGGCTGGTACTATGCCAGTCCTCACAAAGGCACTGATTGTCCGTGTAGCGACGATGCTATTACAACAGTACGCAACCAAGCAGCCAGCCCATGTGCTCTTGAGCGACGCATTTGTGGCCGACCCCACGCTCTTTGACGAGCTCGCGATCCGAGGTACGGTGAACGCCAAGACCAATGTCATCCGACGCTGCATGTCTAGTGCTGTCTCGCCTTGTCCGTGACGTGGGTCGAAAGCAGTACCCACCCCGCGTGGCGTCAGTCCTCGCACTGTGGCTGCAATGGAAGCGCGGCCAAATGCGCGTCAACTCGGCCGTGACTATCGGGGGTTGCTTGGTACTATTTTGTGCTGCATTCCGAGTCAAGACGTCCGTTTAGGTCAAGAAGACACGCGCCGGGCTACTCGTGACGGTCGAAGGACACGCGGCTCCTTAATTACCCGCCTTTCGGTCTGGGAGGGTTAACGAATGCGGCAACTAGATATTCTTGTTAGCACGACGGTGGGGCCTCTAACGTCGCTTCGAGTTGCACACGTCGGTGGGCTTTGTAGTCGTCGATCTGCAGCAGCGCCTGGCTCTCGTTGTCGAGCAACACTGCGTACTGGAACGACACCGGATGCTTTGCTTTGGCTCTTGTGAGTTGTGGCAACTGCACTTCGTCGGCCTTGCGTGCACTGCATCGCACGTTAGCGCTAGATACAAGAGCACGCGCACCTCGTTTTCGCACTGCGACCTCGGTGTTTCGGCGCGAACGACCGTGGTGGCGCCGGTTGTTTCTCGACGGTCGGTGCATTCTCGAGCACGGGCAACTTGCCACTGGCAGAACAACTGTCGTCGTCGTCGCCGTTGCACACGTCGTTGTCGTCGGGCGGTCGTTCGTTGCGTCGGCGCCGGGAAGACGACGTCTTTGCCGCCCGCTTCGTCGCCGAGAGCATTCGTTTGCACTCTTGAACGCGCAGCGGCAGCGGAATCGTCACGAGCTTCTTCTGCAGCCGCCACGGCAACGTCTCTTCTACAAACACACACCCGGTCCACCACAAGGATTCGCAACCTCCGACGTGGCCGCACCTGGGATCGCGCCGAGACCAAGCGCTGGCAGTGTGCTACTACTACTACTGTTTGGCCGATGTTGCTCCTCGTCACTAGTATGGCTGTCCGGCTCGATGGGTAGCTATGACATAAGCTACCGATAGTCACTAGCGTTGGGGGAACCAGAGCGCACCGTCGCTGGCGTTGGATTGTCGTCTGCCTCATTTGTGAGCACGAGGCGCACGCGTCGGAGCATGGCTTCGGACGCGCGGATGTGGGATCGCAGCATGTCGTTCTCGGTCGCTAGCGTCTTCTCGTGGTCGGTCGCTTGCGCCAGCTGCGTCCGCGCCGCCTCGAGAAGCGCCCGCACACGGGTATTCTCCGCCTACCACCGCGCCATGGTTGGTCATTTGCCAGTTATAGCACCGCGTGTGTACCTCGAGGGCAGCGACTCGGGCCTCGAGCGCCATGGGCGGCAAGATCTCGCGCCGGACCACGTCGCTACTCTCGATACCCTTGAGCCGCTCGGCGAGCCGGAGCGTCGTGCACGTCTCGTCCCACGACGCCGCCGCCGGCGTCACGGTCAGCACAAAGGTGGTGCGCCCGGCGGCTTCGAGGCTCGGCTGCAGCAAGCGCGTTAGAACAGACGCGCGGTACGGAACATGGTCCAGCGCGCGGCGCTGGGCGAGCGCGTGCACGCACTGCGAGAGGTTCGACAAGCTCTTGTGGATCGACGCAACTTCGGGCGTGTGCTGGACGGGCGCCACGTCCATGCCCCTACGCATTCGTTACATCCAGACAAAGAAGAAGAAGAAGAAGAAAGGACGCACGCCAAGTCGACCAAGAAGAGCCGGGACGCACGCCGCGTGGGGTCGCGCGGTTGCAGCGTCACTTGAAAGATGACGTGGCCGTGGCGCAGACGTTTGGAGCGGTGGCCGGCGACCTGCGCAGCTTAGATGCTGGTGACTGTGGTCCGCGTACTACCTGGTTGTACACGTCAAGGACGTCGTCGCGGGACTTCATGGCATGGGCACTCAAGCCCTCGATGAGCGTCGCGCCGTTGGCTTGCGTGAGCACTGGGAGGTCGTCCGTCTCGTGCGTCGGCTTGGCATGGACGTTCCAGAGCGTCCGCTTTCGACGGGATCGCGACATCATGCGCCGTGGCGGCGACGACGCCACAGGCATCGTGGCACCGACGAGCAAGTCGTAGACCTTTTCGTTTGAAATCTAATGTTGCGAGCTAGTCAGACCTGCGCGGGTTCGAACCGCGTACCTCGAGGCATGAGCAATGGACGTCGAGGTCGAGCGACCCGTCGAGTGCATTGAAAAGCGCGTGCACGAGACGCGGCACGAGCCCGGCGTCGTCGGGGACGGCGTCGGTCACTGGCGCTTCGGGCTCCTACGCGAATCCGGTTCCGCAGGCAACGCGTCGGGCACCCTACCGCGCCGTCGTCTGCTGGTGGCGTACCGCCGCTCATGGCTACACACGATTTGCGTGAGCGATAGACTACAAAGAAGCGCCGACTGTGAGTTTTGCCCGAGCCCTTCTGGCCGCTAGACACAGCGCTCATAAAAGAGAGATTTGACGAGGTTCGAAGCACGTACTAGGCGACGATGCTGCAGTCGCGCCCCGACAGCACCGCGCCGACGTAGTCGGCGAGATGGTCGTACACGATGGCGTGCGGTGTGTCGGGCGGGAAGACACCATCGAGTTGCAGCGCCTTGGTGGCACTGTGCTTGGCCCACAGCACGCGCTTCTCATCCTACATCGAGTAGCGTCGAGTTGGTGACTGTAACATTGAAGAAGATGCAAGGGCACCGGCGCAAGGCAGAGGCCGTCCGAGACGCCGGCGAGAGAGGGCAAGAGCACCGACGCTGCACCTGCCGGCGGTTCGCGCAGGCGCAAGAGCACGCGAAAGCCTCGCGTCACGTCGTCGACCATGCGGGCTGTCCTTTTTTAGCCAGGCTTACCGTTTCGCGCAGTATATTGGCGCCAATATTGTCAGTTGTTTGTACAGAATGTCATATAGTTCTTGCGACATTTTCTGTCGATGGAAGTCGAGCCATTTAGCTTTGTATTACGAGGTTCCAGACGACTAGTCTACGAGCTACTACGAACGCTGCAGGAGCAGGTCAAAGGTCGTTCTCCAGCGCATTGATCTATGGACAGCGACGCCATTATGGTCCACCATTGAGCAACCAAGAGAGAATGGGAGACGTACAAAGTCTTCGTCATCGTCGTCGTCGTCCATGTCGGCGTCTCGCTGCGCATCGGCGGTTTCCTGGACGTCGTCGACGACCTTGCTGCGCTTCTCGTGCGGTCGCGGCGTGCCATCAAACTTGCGCTTGGGCTTGGTGTCGGCGTCTTCTTCCTCGAGCTTCTCGGCGAGCATGAGTCGCCGAAAAATATCGTCGTCGTCGTCGTTTGCCCGCACCGCCTACCATAAAACTAGTGTCAGCAACGTCTTAGCTGCGACTGCGGTTGCACCTGCGGCATCGCTGGCTTGAGCGGCATGGCAGGCTTGACAACGACCGGCGCTGTCTTCTTGCGGGTCGCCATTTTGGATAAAAAGTCAAACGACCCGCCGGTTGCGACTACACCCTTGACGACTGCAGGCTTCGGCGCCGCGACCGGGGTTGGCGGCAACGGACGTTTTCGCCGCATGGCTGTCGTGAACGGCGCCTCAATCTTCTCGGGGAGTGCGTCAAAGGTCACGGTCTTGCGATCTTCCGGCGCCTTTTTGGCTGTCCGCAGCAGCCCCTTGCTCTAGATAATACCACGCTACTACCAAATTCACAAGCAGTATTGAACCCTACCGGCAGCGGCCTCAACTTGGACAATGGCAGTACGGCCACTGCATCGCCATCCTGTGTCGTCTCTGCCTCGGTTGTGTCGACCTGCTTGGTTTCTTCCTCGTCTTCGTTGTTGTCGGTGGCGGTGACGACTTCGGCGATCAGACTGTCGTCGCGTGTCGGCTCTGTCGCGGGCACGAGCGATCGAATGCGGTACCGATCCTCGCGCAGGCGCATCCACTCGGACGCGCAGTCGATGAGCCACTGCGGACTCACGACATTGACGCTCGGCATCGCGAGTGCCTGCTCTTTGCATCAGCCACCAAGTCCAGAGACAATGGTGTTCTGTACCTCGAGGTATTTTTTCGTGCCGAGGCGCTTGGGGTGGATCACGAGGTGCGTGGTTGGGAAGTTGTCCATGGTCATGCTCGGCTTGGCGCCAAATGAGAGCGCTAGCTTCCACAGGTAGTCCGACTCGGGCGCGACGCCGATCGGGATGACACCGCTAAATGCAATGTGGCAGCCGCGCAGCACCGCGTGTCGCATCTGTACATAGAGCCATGATGACGCGGTTCCCGTCGACATCAAGTCGTACCTGTTCCATGATGGCCTTGACGCTGGTGCTGCCGGGCGACTGGTAAAACTTTTCATGTACGAGCTACGCGCCAGAGTGACAACTGGCGATAGAAATGGCAGAGTACCTTGAGGACGCGCAGCGCTTTCGTCAAGTGGTTGTCTTGCCTCTTGCGCTCCTTATTCGACGGCGCACCGCCCGACGCGTTGTTGATCTCGGCGCGAGTGTTGAAGTGGTGGAACGCTTCAATGATAAAGACATTTCCCGCGTTCTCCTAACGCTACGTCAGTCGAATCAAGCAGATACCGATAACCGGACCTTCCAGACGTCGACGCGGTCGTCGAGAACGACGATCATCGAGTCGTCGCAGGACGGAAAGAGCAGCTATGTGCGTATTGTGGAAGCTTCTGAGGCGAAAGGGATAGAGTACCTTGAGCGACTTGTGGGCGACGTCGGGCGTGTCGGTGCGGGCCACGATGCGGTGGTGGAAGAGCGAGTTGTCCGGATCGATGATCTCGGCGATGCGCTCGGCGTACTTGCGCGTGCCGTGCGTGTAGATGTGCAAGTCGTAGAGGGACGAGAGCTCCGAGAGGAACGTCGAGAGGCCCGGGCGCAGCTGGAGCACGTGCTCGGTCGGGATATCGCGGATGTAGAAGCGCAACGCGTCGTCTGCGCCAAGTTACTCGAGACCTGGATGAGGAGAGTGCGTACCGTCAATGGCGTCGACCACGTCCTGGGAGCGCACGGCGTGGAGCAGTGTGTGGTCCAAGTCGAGTACGAGCACGAGCTTCTTCTGCTTGAGCATGCGCCCAATGTTTTCGCTGTCGAGCTCCTCTACGTGGCAGGATAAGATGCACGGAAATGTCGTGGACAAAGGCGGCGTACGGGCCGTCGCGCGGTTGACCTCCATGATCTGGCCCTGCGCCAAGATCACTTTGACCGTCTCGCCGGCTTCCACCTTGGACATGCACACGACGCAGCGATTGTTCTGGATCATCGGATGCATGCACACTTCGATGCGACCAATCTCGACGTCCGTGCCAGGCGGCACGTCGTCGGCGGGCAGCGGCAGGATCGTCAAGGTGCCCGTGGCCGGCGCGATGATGCTACCAAAGCTGCTTTCCGATGGGCTGCCGTACGAGGCAATGATCTGCTCGGCGTGCACGAGCTGTCCATCCGTGCACGTCCAGGACAAGGCCACGTGGGCCTTGCACTGCAACGCGAGGAACTGCGCCGCCATGCCACACCTTGGCCTCCAGCAAATCGGGATTCTGCCAGCTATTTATAAAACTTGGACGCACGGTATTTTATTCTCTTGCATTTTGTATACCCTCGGACGACGGGCAGGCGCTACTCACACGCAACTTTGGCGGACCGCCAGGTGTGTCCGGACGACCGCAACGTAGGCCGCCCCACGCAGAGCACACACAGTGTCTGTGCCTATGTCATCGATGTCGCATGCGCGCATTGTAAGCCCATCAACCGATACTCGCGCCGCCACATTGTCCTCGATAACATCTCAAGAGGCGTGTTTTTATCCTGATTGAACCCGATCTTGGCTCACTTGTTGACAATGCAGTGGGGCTCGGCCGCGAGGATGGCCTCGAGGTCCGAGTAGCGCAGCATGTTGGCACAGCAGATCTCGTCCGTATGGTGCTCGCCGTTCATCATTCGCTTGACCTTGTCCTTGTTTTGAAGCCCAGCTAATGGTTCGAGCGATATAAGATCCAGTCCATCGAGGTGACCTACTTTGGGGCGGCGTTGTCTTGATTCGCTGCTGCTGGTTGAGCGCGCTGCCCGCGACCGTGATGGACGACGGCGACGACGAGAGCGCCATGTTTTGGCGCTGGCTGCGGTCAATCGAGATCGGGTATCGATGAATGCGCCGGAGGAAACCATGGATGAGCCCAAACGTCACGAGCCGCCGGACGTCGATGTGCACCAGTGACTTTTGATACCTGCGCGTCTTGCTGCCTTAGTACTCGAGTAAGCTCAAGGACGTACGTGTTCCAGAGCTGGCTCACGGGCACGCTCGGCTGCAGTGCGCAGTAGATGGAGAAGACTGTCGGGAAGAGCGGCGGCGTGTCTTCGTCCTTGGCCACGTACGCGACGCACGCACGCTACCGCCGACTTAGACAGTGATGGCTTGCCGGCACGTACTTGCAAGTTGACGTCTTCGACGAGGCTTGAAATCTTGTCGGTCGTCGCGTAGATGTTGGAGTGGAGGAAGATGTCGATCATGGTGATGCAGCCATAGTACATGAGCTGGCGCATGCAGTTCTTGACTGGACAGAGTCGCATCAGACGTATGCGCACGTATATAGTGTACCGATCGAGAGCTCGACTTCGGCGATGACAGCGATGCGCTTGACGTAGTTGACGCCGTCAATGTACGGGACGATCTTCTGCAGCGCCAAGTCCCACTCGGCTACTTGCCATGAGAGTACGAAACCACCAGTGCAAAGCTTTGTACCGCTGTTTTGCAGCAGCGTCTTGAGATTGCGGATCGCGACGGGTACTTCGTGGTCGTGGACGTTGGGCGGCGTCGAGAGCTTGGGAAAGAGCTTGAGGTTGATGATGTTGGCGGTGTCGATTGGGATCGTGCACTCGCTAAAGTGTGTGAGATCATGCAGGATCGCCGGCAAGATCGTGGCAAGCGTCGCCTAGACCACAGTGGTCAGTAGCGTGCGACAAGGTGACCATGTACCTTGCTCGCTTCGCGCGAGAGGAAGCCATTCTCCTTCTCCATGCTTTCCATGAGCGACCCGAGCTAGTCATTGTAGGTTGAGCGACTGCGAACATCATGTCGCATGTACCTTGCGCAGGATGGGCTTGTATGGCGTCGAGTCCATCGAGCGCTGGAAGACAAACCCTACGAGCCATGAGCGACGACACTTCGATGCGGACGGACCAATGTTGAAGAGGAGGGCGTTGCGGTGGTACTTGTCGTCTTCGATGCACACGGGATAGCCCACGATCTTGATGTCCTGCGGGCAGACTACGCAGCAGGTAGATTGAGCTCGGCGTCAAGACGAAGGCGGACCTGTGATGATCTTGCCGCAGAGCGCCTTGTCGATGATGATGTAGCCCGAGACGCTGTCAAAGACCTCGTTGCTCAGCGCGCTATAATAAGAGACGTGAGATGCAGCGATGCCATCGAACGTACTTGGCCGGCGCCTGGTACACGATCTGCGGCCCCGCAATGTTGTCAAACTCGCTGTAGAAGATGGCCTGGATCATCCTCGCGTTGACGTTGACGCTGTCCGAGTGCAAAGAGCAAAAAAGGTCGCTTGTCAACACTATACTCTATTTTCACGCAACTTTCCCGCCTGCAACGCGACCGGGCCAAACCACATGGTATCCCTGGCACAGTTAGCCGCCTGCATAGCGCTCGCGCTTTGGCCTTCAGCACATCAAACATACGGCAACCACGCGTATAAAATTATACGCCATGCATGGCAAGAGCAGCCATCGCCTACAACAACGCCTTGTTGACTCTCTGATTGTGGCGTGTTTTTAGCCAGAACATCACCATGCGCGACCGGGATTTCTCCGGACCAGCACATGCTGGACCCAGATATCCGGAAAATGACCACTTTTACCGGCATATTGATACATTGACGTAGCAGCCGCGCACTGCTGTTGCATCGCTGCTTTTCAAAGCAATGCCCCGCTGCTCATTTTTCAATTGGAGCTTAAACGGACAGTGCGCCACCGCCCGGACAAAAGACCGTGCGCTCGGCGTGGACTCAAGAGCAGGTATAGCCTCTACTACTACTAGCGTCGTGCATTCCACACCTCTAGCATAAACATGTTTAGATCCAAGCACTGGAAGTGGCCGTCGCCAAGTACGATGGTTCCGCTGGTCGCGGCAAAGTGGAAGGTACGGCATCCAAGAGCACGAATCCACTTAGTTGGAACGGCAGGCGATTGCGGCGCGAGTCCCCGGTCGTAACGACCACAACTAACATTGCGAAGCGGCGGCACTGGTTGGAGTGACTTTAACAACGCCTCCATTGCGCTAACGATGCCCACAACAAGCTGCCATAAACCTGTGTGCAATCAAACCAAGATCACTGGAGATCCCGTCGGATCGGCTGCTCGATATACGAGTCTGCTAGTAGGCCAAGAGAAAGGCTGTCAGTACGTCAGAAGCTCACTTGCTATCTCTACGGCTCTTCGCATGTGACGTGCGGACATGGACCTTTGCTGCTGCACCCGCGTCGACGACTCGATCCCTTTGGCCCATGGTAAATTATTCTCCTAAAGATTAAATTAGTAAAAATGACACTGCCTACGTGGCAGCTGGAATGGGCCACCGTCGCCGACTTGAGCCCAAGGACTGCCGTTGACGACTTCCCAGGCCAGGCGTTCCACGAGCTGTTCCTTGGCGGATCTTGTTTTTGGAAACTGAAAATAGTGTGCGATCGTTTCCCGCCTTCCGTGGCACCGCGATGGTGCTCCTACCAGTGCGTCACTAGCAACCGCTGGAGACAGAGACACAAGAGTTCTCGTAGATGCCTTTGCGTCCACACTGCGCGCGCCGATTGCCATTGTACGTGGCTGACACCGAGTGGGCGTAAATGGTGTGTGATGCTATGAATAGTGTGTCTGTAACCCCCGTCGGCTGTGGGCCGAAACGACAGAGAACCGAAAACGTGTGATTGCCACAAGAGCAGCCATGTTCATGCAAGAGAACTCGTTCGAGGACGACGGCCGCGGGAAGCAGCGCGAGCGCGACCTCGCCAAGGACGTCGACAGCCGCCTCAGCATCTCGCGCGAGCCCCACCCCAACATGCTCGACGACGACGAGATCGAGGAGATTGGCGGCCCCGCGGGCAGCCGCTCCAACGTCATCCAGCAGCAGCGCGATTTGCACAAGAAGAAGATGCAGGAGCGCATGAGCGGAGGTACTCGCACTACATGCGGCCAAGGCTCACGGCGCGGGTAGGCGTCGTGCGCACGACCGGCGCCCGGCAATTCTCGACCCCGCGCTCGATGGACATTGACGAGAAGCCCTCGTACGTAGCTTGAAGCGCAAGCGTCGCCTCTAAGATCCAGGATTGTAGTCGCTTTGGTCGTGACGACGACTTTATCGACGACCGCGCGGCCGGAAAGAAGGCGGCGCCCGCGCGGTTTGCGCGCGACGACGAGGACGAGGACGACGATGACAGCAGCGCCCGGCGCCGATCGACGCCCAAGAAGGCCAACCGCTCGTGGCGCGATGAAAGCCCCGAAGACGATCGCCGAAAGAGCCGACCCGCGGAGAAGGAGCGGCGCAAGCCACGCGCCGGCGACAGCGACGACGATGGCGACGACGACGCCGACTACGACCGCCGACCACCGATGAACAAGCGCGGGTACGATCTCGTTGCTATTTGCGCGACATCGTCTCAAGGTACTTAGGTCTCGTAGCGGCGATGGCTACCCGGAGCGCGAGCGCACCAAAGGCAACAGCGACACGTGGGTCGAAAGCGGCAAGGCCACCAAGGCCAAGAAGGTATTCACCCACACATGTTTTCCTACTCATTCTCGTGCGCAGGGCCGGGACCGATCGAGCTCGCCCGACTTGTCGTCCGAGGACGAAGCCAACGACGACGGCGCCGTGAGCACGTTCGACCCGGACAAAGGCAACCCGAAGAAGCCGGTCGTCAAGAAGGGCAAGCTCGACCTCCTCGACATGAAGGCCTTCCTCATGCGGTACATTTTCAATCTCTCGCATCGACTCACACTAAATATGCATAGACCGGTGCCCAAGGCCTGCGACGTGGTCGAGTGCTACATTGAGCGCAACCGGTCAGGCTCCAACAAGATGTTCCCCGAGTACTGTTTGTACCTCAAGGACGGCGACCGGTTCCTCTTGACGGCCAAGAAGCGTCCGAACAACCGCACGAGCAACTACCTCATCTCGATGCAGCTTGGCGACCTCGCGCGCAAGGGCAGCGAGAACTTTCTCGGCAAGCTCCGCGCCAACTTTATCGGCACCGAGTTTGTCATTTACGACAACGGGATGAACCCCAAGAGCGCGGACCAGCACACGCTGACGGTCAACCCCGCGGGCATTCGCCAAGAACTCGGCATTGCGGTCTACGCCAAGAACGTGCTCGGGCACCGCGGGCCGCGCAAGATGAAGGTGTGTGTGCCCAGAGTGCGCGAGGATGGCACGCGCGTGGTGTGGCGCCCCGTGACGAAGGAGGACGAGATGGTCAACAAGTGCAAGGAGCAGGACCATACGAACCTCACGTATCTCATCAACAAGCCACCGCGGTGGAACGACCAGGTCGGTGCATACGTGCTCAACTTCAACGGCCGCGTCACGATGGCGTCGGTCAAGAACTTCCAGCTCGTGACGCCCGAAGACCAAGAGACGGTAGTCCTCCAAGTCGGTCGACTCGGTGTTTTATGTTCGGTGGATGATTAGGTCATTTTGCAGTTTGGCCGTGTGGGCAAGGAGCTCTTCACGATGGACTTTCGCGCTCCGCTCTGCCCGCTACAAGCGTTTGCGATCACGCTCAGTAGCTTTGACTCGAAGCTTGCGTGCGAATAGATGGCCTCGCCGTCGAACCGCTCCACGAGCTTGTTTACACGCAACTACTTCTCTTTCTACGACGACTAAAGAAATACTAGTGTATGTATCACGCGGAATTTGCCTCAGAGGTGCAGGGTCGCCAAGTGCGCGCGGACAGCGTCGAGATTGCCGACGTTCTTGACCTTGCCCTGGAAGAGCCCCTTGCGACCGCCGCCCTTGCCGTCCAGGAGGCCCGCGACCGTCTTGGCCTCGGCTGCCACAAAGGCTTCGGGACCAGCAAGCACCATGGCACCCTCGCCGCTCTTGGGGTTGCCCGACGTGAGCAGAAGGACCTTGGGCGAGGATGTCGTGAACGCCAGCGAGATAGCTTGGAGGAACGCAGCGTCGGCGTCGTCGCGGTGCAGCATCGCATACGAGTCGTTGGCCGACGACGCAAGAAGCTGCTGCGCAACGAGGTGCGCGAGTTCGAGCCGCAGCGCCTTTTGCTCTTTCGCAGCGGCCGACTGCGCCTGGAGAAGCTTAGCGAGACGCTCGTTGTGCTCTTCGGGCGCACAGCTCCACAGCTTTGTCGCGGCGCGTTCGCGTTCAAACCTACACGCGGCCGAAGTTCGCGCATCTGCATACGATGTTCAAAGCGATGTATGTACATGGTCGTAAACTCCTTGAAGACGCGGTTGCCCGCGACGAACCAGACGCGCGTGCAGCCACGCGCCACCTCCGAGTAGAGAAACTTGACGCACTACAAGTTCGGAGGCTGAGACGCGCCGTCCTCGTAGACCAAGGTGGCTCTACCTGGAGCTGGCCCGTGTGCTGAACGTGCGTGCCACAGCACGGGTTGCTATCGAGCTGGTCCATGACGACGATGCGGACGTCCGAGGTCTCGTCCTTGTAATGTGTCGAGACCGGACGGGCGGCGGCAATCGCGTCGTTGACGGCCGCCTCAAGCGCGTCGAGCTGCGCAGAGGTCAGCGACGTCGAGTTGAACTCGACGTTGCAGCGCACGAGGCCGAGCGACCACGTGGTCGTGTCGACGCCCAGCGTCGTCTCGGCGATCGCCGAGATGAGGTGCTGCGCCGAGTGCTGCTGCATGTGGTCGTGGCGGCGGGGCCAGTCCAGCGTCATGAGCACGCTGTCACCGGCCTGAAACTCATGGCTCGTCTGCAGCACGCAGTGGCCGTTCTCGGGAAAGGCCTTGGTCACGGCAAAGGTCGCGCCTTGCAGCTGCAGAGCGCCGAGATCGCCGGGCTGGCCGCCGCCCTCCGGGAAGATGACGCTGTCCGCGCAGACGACGTTGAAGGTGTCTTTGAGCTTGGGCGCGCGGACGCACGAGACAACAGTCGTCGCGAGCTCCTTCAAGAACGAGTTGCGCTGGCACGCCAGCCGTCCGAGCGCGGCCGACATCTTGGTGCGAAATGGCCACCGTTATCCGGAATCCTTGCCCATTACATTCGGCAATTCCGTCGTCTTAAATGTGGCATTTAATGCCGAATCTACGCCCAACGGTGAAATCCGGATTCTAATGTGATGCTGTTTGCTTGCTCGGCCGCATGAACAGCTTTGCAATAGCCGTTCTTAAGCAGCTGCATACCATTCGCAGGTCTTGGTACAATAATATTGCGCTCGGGACTTGAGTATTGCGACCTTGATTCGAAGTGCTGTTGAATTAGGCAGCGGGAGGACATCTATGCGACCAGAGATTGGGAGGTGCAGCAGCAAGACCTTGTTGAAAACCGGTGGTTTATAGACGAATGGGACGAGGTGGTAAGTCGTGCATGCGGTACCGTGGGCGCTTTCGAGGTGCGTGGCGACCGTGCGAGTTGACGCGATGGGAACCACTAGATCCTAGGCACATGCCGCGAATAAGGGTGCTTGAAATCGGCATTCGCGCCTTTTTCCAATTTCCGGATACGATGGTGCGGGAATAAGGGAGGTGAATTGAGGCCCAAGTTCGCCAAAGTTTGGGCGTGGCATGAACAACCTCGAGACCATCCGCCGGGGCCTCCTGAGCCTCGACGTGGGCGCGCGGCTGAAGGAGCTCTCGGAGCTCTACAAGCACGCGGACGTCTTCCTCACGCCGCAGCTGCCGCGGATCCTCGAAGCGCTCTTCCCGGTCTTCCAGATGATGCTGCGCACGCAGGTCCCGCCGCAGTTTACCAACAACGACAAGAACAAGTGTCGGAAGCTCACGCTGCAGATCCTGAACCGACTGCCGTACAACGAAGCGCTCAAGCCGTACGCGAGTCGCCTCTTGCATCTGCTCATGGAGGTGCTCACGGTCGACAACGTCGACAACTGCCTCATTGCGCTCAAGACCATCTTTGACTTGCACCGCAATTACCGGCCAGGCCTCAAGAATGAAGTACAACCGTTCCTGGAGCAGAGCCAGAAGATGTACAAGAACATTCAGCTCATCATGAAGAAGCAGTTCTCGGGCCCACCGGAGCCGCCGTTGGCGCCGATCGGGACCACGCCACCGGCGACGACACCATCGATTATCGAGACGACCAAGCTGGCCGTCACCGACGCGACAAGCGCGACCAAGGACGATCCGATGGGTGCCGACGACACGGAGGAGACCAAGGACGACGAGTCGGGCAGTAGCGCCACGCCGACGACGACCGCACCGTCGACGAGCACGGCCCACGACAGTAACAGCGACGTCGTCGTCGTCTTGTGCCAAGGCAGCGAGTCGTTCAAGACCATGGCCGAGTTTCCTCTGATCATCATGCTGCTCTTCCAGTGCTACCCCAACTACATTGAGAACTACATCCCGATCCTCGTGCCGCTCATGATGTCGACCTTGTCGCTGCGCTGTCCGGAGCTCGCGCCCAAGTTGTACCCGTCCAAGTACGTCGACTTTCTCGACTGCCAAGTCAAGACGCTTTCGTTTGTGACGTATTTATTGCGCGGCTTTGCGCTGCTCATGCGGCCCTTCCAGGACAGCATCTGCGAAAACACGGTAAAATTGCTCATGGCGTGCCCGAAAGACGCGTTCGTCCTCCGAAAAGACGTGTTTGTCGCCGCGCGCCACATCCTCTCGACGGATTTTCGCCGGGGTTTTTACGGTCAGCTCGAGCTCCTCCTCGACGACGACGTGCTGATCGGGAAAGGACGCTGCGCGTACTACCAGATTCGGCCGTTGGCGTACTCGACGCTCGCCGACATGGTGCACCACGTCCGCGACATGCTCACGCTGCCCCAAGTGAGCAAGATTGTGGCGTTTTACGGCAAGCGCATCCATGACCCGACGCTGCCCGTGCCGATCCAGACGACCGCGATCCGGCTTCTCCTCAACCTCGTCGACATTAGCGCCAAGAATGAAGACGCGGACGGCTGGCGCGGCCGCAACATTCTCTCACGCATCCTGCTCACGATCGCAACCAAGTTTGGCACGACGTTGCACCAGCTGCCAATTGTACTCTCGCTCTCGTCGACGTCGGCAACGAGCGAGAAGCTTGGCGACCCACTGGAAGGCGGCGCGATGGACAAGATCAAAATGTCGGACCTCGTGCCCAAGCCGATTGAGGTGCTCTCCGACGTCGACGCCAAGCTCAAGAGCCTCCTCTCGCCGTACGAGACGATGCAGCAGTCGTACGTCGGCTTGCCGGAAGAGGAGCCGACGCTCCGGGACGTCAAGTCGCTCCTCCGCACGATGATTCTGGGTATCCGCGCGGTCATTTGGTGCACTGCCAACTACCGGAACCCGCATGCGAAGGACCTGACGAGCATGGACACGGCGGCCGGTAGCGTCGCGTCGTCCTCGGCATCCGAGGTCGATGCGACGCACGTGTACCCGCTCACCGACGACGAGCGCGCGTTGATTGCCAAAGTGCTGCAGAACGGTCTGCGCTGCTTCATTTTGTACACGCTCTCGGAGAGCTCGGTCTCGGAGGAGAAGCAGATGCTCGACCACTTTGCGGGCGCGTTCACAGTCCTCGACGCGTCGGACTTCCGGGACCTCTTCCTCTCCAACATGAAGCTCCTCTACGAGTGCATTCTGCAGGACCACGCGATCTTGACCGTGCCGCAGCACTTTTTGGCCAACGCCAACGTGAGCTGCTGGTTTGCCGAGATCCTCCTCACGTTCCTCGTGACGCGCATGGACGTGCTCGGTGTCGCGTGCTCGAGCGACGTGCCGGATCTCGACCGCCACGACAAGATTTGCTCGATGGAGAGCCTCGTATTTGAGCGGCTTCGGCCCGTGGCGCCGCCGCACGAAGCGTCGATTGTCCTCCGGCTCTTCAAGATTGTGTTTGGCTCGGTCACGCTCTTCAAGGCCAACGAGACGGCGCTGTTTCCACACCTCAAGACGATCATTGTGGCGTGCTTGACCAAGGCGACGCACACGACCGCACCGGACAACTACTTGCTCTTGCTGCGGGCGCTGTTTCGGTCGATCTCGGGCGTCAAGTTTGAGAACTTTTACAAGGAAGTGCTGCCGCTGCTGCCAGGTTTGTTGTCGGCGCTCATGCGGCTCCAGGCGCACATCCAAAAGCCGGCGCTGCAAGACGTGCTCCTCGAGCTCTGCTTGACGATCCCAGCGCGCCTGAGCTCGCTCTTGCAGTACTTGCCGTCGCTCATGAAGTCGGTCGTCGCGGCCATGCTCTCGAAAGGCGAGCTCGCAAACCTCGGGCTCCGGACGCTCGAGTACTGGGTCGACAACCTCAACCCCGACTTTTTGTACCCAATCATGACGTCCCAAGACCGCCTCTTGACCGAGATCATTGAAGCGCTCAACTCGCATCTGCACCCGCCGCCGTACCCGTATGGCGAGCTCGCGATGCGAATTCTCGGCAAAATCGGCGGCCGCAACCGGCAGTTTACGAATGACGTGCTCTTGGTCGAGCACCGTCGAAGCAACCTCGACGGCCTCGTGCTCAGCATGCGTTGGGAGAAGGAGGCTTTCCTGAGTCTGCCGCTCGACGTACACGTCACGCGTGTCTGCGTGCTGCTCCGGGACTACGCCAAGCGCACGGCGTCGACCAAGCCCGAGGCGCCGGCGCCGACCGGACGCATCGAATCGCCGGCGGCCGACGACGACGACAGCAGCGCCAACCTCGTGCTCGAGAAGGACGAAAAAACGCTGCAGCTCGAAGCCGACACGATCTTGCGTGTCCACGCGACGGTCTTGGCCCAAAAGAAGGATGCTTTTGCCTTTCTCAAGCATTCGCTGGCCGCACAGTTGCAGCTGAGCGGACTCGATCTGGCGACGCTGTCGCATGTGGCGGCACCGACCCCCGGCGCGGACGATGCGGCCAAAAGCACAATTGCCAAGGAGCTGGAAGAAGGGGTCGTGGCGAGCTGCAACTACCCGACGCCGTCGCGCGACAAGGTCGTCGCCGAGCAAGACGTGCTCAAAACCGTGCTGCGAACGCTCTGCGAGTGCGTCGCCGACGTCGACTTGGCTGGCGACGCGTGGCCTCTCTTGCGTAGCGTCTGCGTGCACGTAACAACCGTCGTCCTCTCGCGGTCGCGGCGTACACTGCCAAATCCGGACGTGCTGCAAGGACTGCTGAAAGCCTCAATTGTTCCGGGACCGCGCGGTTTGTCGCCAGGGCGCATGCTGGGGACCACAGCGCGCATTGAGACGTACCGTGAGGCGTACTATGGGCTGCCGCTGCTAGACGAAGACGTGGTCGCGGCGCTCGATCCCTTTGTCGTCTTTGAAGTGCTCGTTGATGTGCTTGCCGACGCCGACGACAAGGTGGTGGCCGTCGGGTACAAAGCGCTGGACATTGTGCTCGACGTTGTCGACGCGGTCTGCGGCGACAAGGACGACGTCGGTCAGAGCGGTGCGCTTCTCAACGGCATTTGCGACATTTGCACGCACGCGTGCTACGACAAGAGCTCGTGGCGCCACAAACTCGGCGGCGCGCGCGGCCTGAGTCGGCTCATTGGCCGGCTCTCGGTCGACTGGTGCCGTGAGAACGAGCTCGGGATCGTGCGGAGTTTGCTCTTTGTCCTCGCCGACCACCCGTCCGAAGTGACGGCCGGTGTCAGCGAAGAGGCTGGCGCGACGTTCCTCGCACTGCTGCACAAGTGCCACGCGCCGTTTGTGCCCAAGCTGGACGACATTGACATGCTCGACGACCTCATCGAAGAGACAACGCCGTTGGACCTCGGCGGTTCGCTTGGCGCGGCGCCCGTGGCCATGCTCTCGGACTACAACACGGAGGTGTTCTTGCTTCTCGTCTCGGAGCTCTTGAGCTCGAGCGCGTCGGTGCGCAAGTTTGCAAAAGATGCGGTCGACGTGTTTGCCACGTGCACGGGCGGCTCGGTCTCGGCGCTGCTCCGGCCGTACCAGCTCGTGCTCGCCAAGCAGATCATGGGCACAAGTCTGCGCCTCTTGCCGCTCGGGACGCGGTCCGGGTACATTGATGGCATGGCGTACTGCCTCTCGCTCTCGCCGCCGCTCTTCTCGCTCAACAAGGACCTGCTCATCTTTCTCCAAGAAGTCTGGAGTCTTGTCTCGGAAGACGGGTCGGGGTCGTCGTCGCCAACGTCCGAAGCGTCGTCGCCGGCGTCGACGCTCCCGACGCTAAGCGAAAACTTGAGCGGCTCCGAGTACCCGTTCGGGCTCTCGCAAATGTGCCAGCTGCGCATCGCAGCGATTCAGCTCCTGCGCGCGGCGTTCGTGAACGACGACCTCCTCACGCAGCACCAGGACGCGCGGAATCGGTTTGTAGGTGTCTTCTTCAAGTACCTCACGGGCCAGCCGACAGCGCTGCTCGACGTGGCGCAGCAAGCCCTCACGGATGTCATCTTGATGAACAAGCGCACGAACGAGCGGTCGCTACCGAAAGAGCTGCTTCAGCAGTGCCTTCGCCCGGTGCTTTTGAACCTCGCCGACTACCGCAAGCTCACGATCCCGCTGCTGGAAGGTCTCGGGCGCCTCCTCGGTCTCCTGAGCAGCTGCTTCAACGTTACGCTCGGTGAGAAGCTCCTCGAGCACCTCCGGCAGTGGCGCGACCCCGACCGCATCATCAAGGCGGGCATCTGGAAGCGCGGTGACGAGCCCAACGTGGCAGCGGCGATCGTCGACTTGTTTCATTTGCTGCCGCCGTCCGACACGTTCCTAGAGCCGCTTGTTTCGTGCGTTGTGGAGCTCGAGGGCGTCTTGCCCAAGTATGGCAGCTTTGGGAAGCTCAGCTCGCCGTACCGTGTGCCGTTGGTGCGCTTCTTAAACCGGTACGCGGCGCAGGCGGTCACGTTCTTCTTGACGCGCGACCGGCTCGTCGAGTCGACGTACTCGGCGCTCTTCCAGCAGCTCGTCAAGCTCCCAATGGCATCGCCACTGCGCGCGGTTTTGACGTCGGACGCGGGCACGGACGCGATCATCGCTGCCACGTTTGCCCACGCGCTCAAGTCGCCGGTGCCGTCGCCCGCCCCAGAAGTCGACGACGACGTCAAGCTCCAGGCGCAGATTCAGGTGCAGGCGGCCAAAGCAGCGTCGCAAGCGATTGCGGCGGCGAACGCCCAAGGCCTCTCGGCGTCGGCGGCCGAGCAAAAAGGAAAATTGGCTCGCGCCGCGTTTCTCGCGAAGGCCGCGCCCGTGATGAAGAGCCCGACGCAGGTGCAGATCCAGGCGACGGCACAGAAGCTCCATGCGCAGACGCTCGCGGCGGCGCAGGCCCAAGGTCTCTCGCTCGTCCAGGCGCAGGCGCGCGCGCAGCAGGTGATGAAGGACTACATTGCCAAGCATTTGCAGATGCCGCCCATGCCAATGAGTCTGCCGAGCGCGATGACGACGCAGCAGGCGCAGCTCCAGGCGCAGATCCAAGTGAACGCGCAAAAGGTGCACGCACAAGCCCTCGCGACGGCCAAGGCCCAAGGGCTCAAGCTCGCGGACGCGCAGGAGCGCGCCAAGCAAGCCCAGTCGCAGTACGTGCAGGTGGCCAAGCAGCAGGCGCAGGCCAAGATGGCGCGGCAGCTCTCGGCGTCGCCCGCGCTCGTCTCGCCGAGCAGCAGCATGAGCAGCCCCGTGCCAAGCAGCGTCAGTGCGCAGTACGCGACCAAGCCGCAGCTCGAAGCCCTCGAATTGCACTACCAAGGCCTCCGGCTCGTGCGCTCGCTGTGCAAGCTTGAGCCGCACTGGCTCGCATCCGCGTCCAACGGGATGGTCGAGTGCATTCAAAAGCTGTGGAAGTCGCCGACGCGCGTCCAGCGGCTCCAGGCACAAGACCGACTGCCGATCCGGTACCATCTCGAGTCGAAGCTGCTCGTCAAGGTGCTCATCCAGTACTGTCGCGCCAAGCCCGACGACGTGCAAGTGCTCTTGGATCTGCTGCCCGTGTTTTTGCATCCGACGTCGTTTGACTTTACGTTTCTCCGAGCGTTCTACCGCGACGAAGTGGCCGCGAAGTACGCACCGTCCCACAAACGCGCGATTGTTCACCTCTTCCTCGGCATGCTGCGCGACCAAGCCGCGACCGAAGAGCTCAAGGTGCATGCGATCCAGCTGCTCATCATGCCGCTACTGCACACGTCGTTTGACGACCCGAACACGAACAACGCCGACGTGATGGACCCGGACGCTGTCATGCTCATGCTCCGGGAGATCCTCGCGAGCAAGGACTACCCGCAAGACACGTTCCAGGCGCTGCGCATCGAGCTGCTCAAGCTCGGCACGCTATTGATCCAGCACATGAGCCGGTACGTGACGGACCACCGAAAAGAAGTGATCAAGTTTGCGTGGAACCATCTCAAAGCACAAGACCTCACGTCCAAGCTCTGGGCCTACGTGAACGTGTGTCGGTTCATTTCCGTGTACGACACGCCGCCGAAGATTGTGCTGCAAGTGTACGTGGCGCTCCTCCGGACGTACGAGCTCGACTCGCGCTTCCTCGTGCGCAAAGCGTTTGACATTTTGCTGCCGGCGCTGCCGACGCGGCTCCCGCCCCACGAGTTTATCAAGGCGATCAAGTGGACCAAGAAGATTGCGTTCGAAGAAGGGCACATTTTGCAGCAGTTGGTGCACATTTGGTACCTCGTCGTGCGCCAGCCGTCGCTCTTTTACCCGTTCCGCGGGCAGTTTATCCCGCTGATGGTCAACTCACTCAACCGGCTCGCGATTCCGCCGAGCAGCACGCAGGACAACCGGCGGCTCGCGGTCTCGGTCGTCGACCTGGTGATTGCGTGGGAGCTCACGCGGCGCCAGCGCGTCTCGGACAAGGCGCCGGCGTCGAAAAAACGCGCGGCGTCCGACGCGGAGGCGGCTACGAGTGACGGCAGCAGTGACAAGCGTCAAAAGGTGGGCGAGACGTTTGTGCCGGGCGCGCCGACCGAGACGACGACCGAAGCCGAAGCCGTGCTCTTGAACGAAGACGACTTTGAGCTCACGGGCGCCATGACGGACCTCATCGTCAACTTTGCATTCCGCTTTGCACTCGCGTGCGCCGACAAGCAAGAGACGAACCGGCTCTCGAAAACGTGCGGCGAGCTCTTTCACCGCGCGCTGCACCTCTGGCCGTCGGCGTCGATCCGGTTCTCGTACTTTGACAAGCTCATTGCGGTGACGGCCGAGGTGATCATTCTGCACGCAAAGGCGCCGCCGCCATCGGACGCGCCGGCAACGTCGATGCCGTCGTTTCTGAGCGTGCACAAGTCGGCGCCGCTGGCGTCGCTCGCGATCCTGAACGCGGTTCTGGGCATTTTGAACACGCTCATCTCGCCGCAGGTCATCGCGCAGTCGAACCGACCGGTCCCGTACGTGGTGCAGTACGCGCCGCGCATCATGAAGCTGCTCGAGCCGTGCTTTGACCGCCAGCACAACGACGTGCAGCATCAACTGACGCAGTACCTCAAGCATATGATCGAGGTACATAGTTCTTTGTGTTGCTCGGAGCCCTGATGATGGGCCTCTAGTTGTACCCGCCAGAGAAGGCGCCGCCGCAGCTCGTCGCGTGTAAATTTTACACGTGGCTGCGGGATATTTTGAACGAACGCTTGCTCAAGGCCGCGGCCGTGCCGAGTGACGCGCCGCTGTCGACGCCAACGACGAATATCAGCAGCCCGAGCACGAGCAAGGCCAAGCCGCCGACGCCGGACGCGGCGCTCTTGTCGTCGCCGGCGACGTCGAGTCAGAGCGCGCTCAACCCGATGATCAACCATGAAGCCGCGCGCATGCGGCAGCTGTTTGCCAACTCGCCAAGCGCATCGGCCGCGTCGGCGCGGCTGAGCAGTCCCGGCGCGTACATGCTCAAGCTCCTCAGTGAGTTGGCGCCGGCGTCGACAAAGTTCATCGATTTGTTTGCACCGTCGCTCATCAAGCTTGCGCAGCGCCTCACAAAGGAGCATCTGCAGCACGTCGTTTCGATCGCCAAGCCGGCGTCTTCGCTCGAAGGCTCGATCGGCGGGACGGACGTCGGTGTCTCGGCGGGCGCGCATGCAAAGGACCGCGTCATGGCGACGCCGAGCCTCGCGATTGCGCACGAGTACGCGCAGCTCGCGACCGGTCGGTCGTCGCTGACGGTCAACAACACGGTGCGGACCAAGAAGACCAAGGACGAAGCGGGTGGGAACGCTGCGAAGAAGAAGAAGGCAGCGGCGGCCGTCAATAGCCCGAAAGATGCGAAATCTACAAAGGCGACGCCGGTCTTGCCCAAGTCGAAGCGCCCGATCGGCGTCCCTGCGTCGACAATTGCGGGCCGGAAGGTGTACATGGACATGCTCATTTCGTGCTTCAAGCTCCTCGCGCTGTGCACGTTCGAGTCGAGCGAGCTCGCGCGCATGTTTGTGCACCTCATGTCGCACTGCCTCGAGCACTCGAGCCACATTCCGCTGCTCTTGAGCATCACCAAAATCGTGGCCAAGATGGTCAAGGACGACGCGTCGTCGGTGTTTACGATCAAGGACAAGGTCGCGCTCTTGAGTAAGATGGCGACATTTGACCGCCTCCACGAGATCTCGGCGCAGCCGCTCTTGGCCGAGTACCACGACCTCGTGCTCAGCATCTGCGCGACGTCCGATACGAACCCGCTGTACGCCAGCGTCCACGGCGCGGCGACGACGGGCCTTCTCGCGAGCGACGTGGCGCTCCGGCGGCAGTTCTTTGCGCACTTTGCCAAGGCCAGTGGCGACTCGACGACGTCCAAGCTCAAGTACATCCTCGAGCACGACTGGCAGGCGTGCGGTACCCGGTTCTGGCCCGTCGTCGCGGTCAAGTTGCTCTTGACGAGCGTCTCGGTGACAGCGCCGATCGCGACAACCGGCGCGCCGCTGCCGGCGCTGACCACGGGCGACGCGGCCAACGCAGCGCTTGTGGCGATGCCGCTCTGGGCCGACCACCTCGTGGTGCTTGCCAGCTGGCGCGAGTGCAGCAGCAACGACTTGCTCTCGCCGCTCTGCAGCCTCGTGCATGTGGACTTGGACATGGCGAACGCGCTGTGGGCGTCGGTGTTTCCGCAGGCGTGGACGCTTCTCAACCCGATGGACCTCATGGGCCCGACGCAGAACCTCTTGCGGCTGCTCTCGATGCGCTACCATCGGCGCGAGCTCCGACTGCCGCTGGCGACCGCGCGGCGCCACAACGTGGTGCAGACGCTCATGGATGGCATTGCTCTGGCGTACCCGATGCCCGTGTTTACGGCCGAGCTGCTCTTATACCTTGCGAACACGTACAACGTGTGGGGCCAGGTGTGCCGCATCGCCGAGTACATGGTATTGAGTCCGACGACGCTGCTTGAAGACCGCGAGCGCTGGGTCGATGTGCTCCACGGCATCTACGCGGAGCTGCACGAGCTCGACTGGCAGGTCGGTCTCAACGTGCAGGCGTGCATCAAGCCCGAGACGCGCATGGCGCTGCATTTGCAGGCGCAAGGCTATTTGCACGAGGCCCAGGACGTGTATTTTCAGGCGCTGTCGCAGACGTCGAAGCAGCTCAAGATCGAGTCGAGTGCGTTTGAGCTCAAGGTGCTCGAGACGCAGTGGGTGAGCTGCGTCAACCACCTCTGCCAATGGCCGCTGCTGCACGACTTTGCCAAGGCGACGCAGAACCAAGAGCTCTTGCTCGACTGCTGCTGGAAGCGCGGCGACTGGACGACCGCCAAGCAACTCTTGCATGCGTCGTCGATCCAGGCTGCGTCCGAGGCCGGGTCGCCGTCCGTGCGGCTCAAGAAGCTCTACATTGCGATCCTCGACGGCGACAAGAAGCCGCAGATGGACAGTTTGAGTTCGCAGATGGTCGACATGGCGTTGCACCAGTGGCAAGGTCTGCCCCGGCTCCTCTCGAACGCGCACATTCCGCTGCTGCACCTCTTTCAGCAGTTTGTCGAAGCCAAGGAGTCGATCGCGATGATGGCCGAGATCAAGGCGGCGAGCGCCGCGCACACGCTCCCGAACCTCAAGCCGAGCATCAATACGTGGCGTGAGCGGCTGCCCAACAAGCACGAACCGATTTTGCTCTGGGACGACATTCTCACGTGGCGGTCCCACATGTTTGCCGTCATCAAGACGACGTTCAGCTGGAGCGACGCGCAGCTGCTCGCGTGTTTGCATGACTCGCCGTGGTCGATCGTCAAGATGGCGCACACGGCGCGCAAGCAGCAGCTGCCCGACGTGTGTTTGCATGCGCTCTCGACGCTCTATACGATTCCGGCCATGGACGTCCAGGACGCGTTCTCCAAGCTGCGCGAGCAAGTGAGCATTTGCTACGAGACGACCAAGGAGTTTAAGGGCGGGTTGAGTCTCCTCAACAACACCAACCTGGACTACTTCGACGCGCGCCAAAAAGCCGAGCTCTTCCGGCTCAAAGGTCTCTTTCTCGACGCGCTCGGCGATAAGAGCGACGCCAACATGGCCTTCTCGCACAGTCTGCAGCTCTGCGACAGCTACGGCAAGGGCTGGCTGAGCTGGGGCCAATATTGCGACGCGCTCTTCACGGAGCGCAAGGACCTCGACTTTGCCGCGCAGACGATTGCGTGCTACCTCCAGGCCGTGCACCACCGGTCATCCTCGGCGCGTTTGTACCTCGCGCGCGTGCTCTGGCTGCTCAGCATGGACAACGAAAAAGGCGTGCTCATTCAAGCGTTTGAGGCCCACGGCAAGCAGCTTCCGATCTGGATCTGGATCGTGTGGATCCCGCAGCTGCTCATGTCGCTCTGCCGGCCCGAAGCGCCGCAGGTATGAATAGTTTGCTCTCTATTGTCTGTGGCGCTGAAAACCAAATCGACTAGATTCGCAATCTCTTGCGCGGGCTCTCGGCCAAGTTTCCGCAAGCGCTGTACTACACGATGCGCGCGTTCTTTCTCGAAAACCGCGAGCTCCTCTCGATGGACAAGGACAAGCTGCTGGCTTCAGCGCCGCCAACGCCGCTCGCTTCGACCGCCACGACCCCGAAAGCAACGGGCTTCAACGCCAGTACCGGCGACGTGGTGTACTTTCGCACGAAATCGGGTCATGTGGTCGCTGTGCCTATGGCGCACGAACACGTGGCCGAGATCCCGGGCCTTGTCGGCGCGAGCCGGGCGACGCCGTCCTTCTTTGGTCCCGCGACGCCCGTGCTGACGCTCGACGCGTGGCTCGAAAAGGTCGCGGGCGGCGAGCTGCTCAAGGCGGACGTGAGTCCGCTCCAGTACACGGAAGATCTGCTCAACTTTCTCCGGCGGTCGCACGACGGGCTCGCGTTCGAGATGGAGTGCGTCCTCGAAGAGATGATTGTCCGCTTCCGCCCCGAGCCCGAGGAGGAGCTCTTGACGGCCGTGCACGCACTCTTGCTCAAGTGCTACCAGCTGCCGAGCTTTGCCAAGCACGAGGCCGTGCCCAAGATGCTCCGCGACACGCTCAGCCGCGTCTGCAACAAATTCTTCATTCTGCAGCCGCACCAAAAGAGCGAGAAGCACCTCGCGTTCGTGGCAGAGTTCAAGGGCCCGTTCGAAACCAACTTTATGCTGCCCGACGTCGACGACGACGAGACCAAGGACGTCGACGGCGCGACGAGCACGCTCTCGGACGTCATGGACCGCCTCAAGCTGTGGAAACACCTCTTGCAGCTGCGCGTCAAGCGGTACGGCAAGCGCAACGCCGACAAGGTGTTCCTCGAGCACAGCAGCCGGCACCTCGCCGAGCTGCGGCAAACCGCGGTCGAGATTCCGGGGCAGTACCTCACCAACGCCGAGCCCATCAAGGAGCTCCACGCGCGGCTTGCGTACTTCGACTCGACTACCGACGTGCTGCTGCGCAACGGGTACACGCAGCGGCGCGTGACGCTCGGCGGCAACAACGGCAAGCACTACTCGTTCTTGGTGCAGTATGCGATGACGTACATTACGCGCTGCGACGAGCGCATGATGCAGATGCACTTGCTCATGAACCGGCTCTTGCTGCGGCACAAGGAAACCAAGCAGCGCCACCTCGTGTTTCACATCCCCAAGGTCATCCCGCTCACGCCGCGCGTCCGCTTGATGGAAGACAATGTCGACCACGTGTCGCTGGGCGAGGTACTCGTACCCATCGTGATGCCACCTGATTCTCATGTACCATATATGCTAGGTCTACGAGCTCGAGTGTGCGCTGCAGAAGAAGGACCCGGACTTTCCCGTCGAGCTCTACCGCCGCAAGATCAGCCAAGTGGAAGAAAACATGGCCAACGTACGTGGCATGACATATCGCATGGGATGTCTCACGATGACATCTCCACTCGTAGATGAAGCTCGCGATTTACAACGAGATTTGCGACCAGCACGTGTCGGAGCACCTTTTGGCCAAGTATCTGCACCGGACCGTGCCCCACTACGACGACCTCTTCCAGTTTCGGTCGGTGTTTACGGCGCACTTGGCGCTCACGTCGTTCCTGACGCACATTCTGCACGTCGGCGAGCGCACGCCGCACAAGACGGTCTTCTCGCGTGCGACCGGCCGCGTCCTCAGCTGCGAGTTGCGCCCGAATTACGCGGCGAGCGGCATTGTCGAGGCCAGCTGCGTCATGCCCTTCCGCCTCACGCGCAACTTGCAGGCGTTCCTGACCTCCAACGGCGTCGAGGGGCCGTTCACGATTGCGATCGCGGCGGTCGCGCAGGCGCTGCTCAGCGACGGCCACGAGAAGATCACGAGCAACCAGCTCAGCCTCTTCTTCCGCGACGACCTCCTCTCGTGGCATACGAGCAAGACCAAGAGCCGCCTCGAGCACACGCACGCCGAGACGCACCGCCGCATGATGGCCGAGAACCAAGTCAAGCAGCGCGTCGACGCCAACGTCAAGGTCGTCACCGACCGCATTGCGGCGCTCGCACCGAAACCCGCGCGCCAAATGACGCCGTCGGCGCCCACCGCGGTCCAAGAGCTCATCGCGTCAGCCACCAACACGGAGGCGCTCTCGCAGATCTACCCGACGTGGTTTCCGTGGCTCTAATCGTGTGCTTGTGTACATCTATCTATCTATAATACATGGCTTTGCATCATTTCGGATATATCTATCCATCTATCCATCTATCTATCTACGTATCTATCTATCTGTTGATCTATCTGTTGAGGAATGACAACGGACAGCAGCGGTGCCGCCACATACGACCAAGGCCACCACGTAGCTGAAGGCGTTGGATACCGACTCCAACCCTGTGCGATAGAGTATATATCCAGTTGGATAGTTAGAAGCGACGTCAGTTCTTTGCTGTTTACGCGAGTGAGACGACGTGGGGGTAGCACGGCAGCGTCAAGAATTCGTCAAACACGTCGCCCGCGAGCGCCGTCAAGAGCACGTCGTGCGCGAGCTGGTACTTGTGGCCGGCAGGCGCGGCGGCGCCCCGGGTCGCCGTGCACGTGGCCAAAATGGCGAGCACGCGCGCTTTCGTGACAAGCGCCTTGTCCTCGGTGGCCATGCCATGGCGGAGCCACTGCCACACTTGGGCGCGGGAGATCTCGGCCGTCGCCGCGTCTTCCATCTTGTTGTGCAGCGGGATGCAGCCGTTGCCGCGCAGCCACGCCTCCGTGTAGACGAGCGCGACGTCGACGTTTTCTTCGAGGCCTGCGGTCGTGATCGGGCCCGTCGGTACGGCAATGAGGTCGGCCGCTGTCACGGGCGACGACGGTGCTTGCACTTTGGCGATCTGATGCGGCGTCGGCATGACCTCGTTGAAGACGTCCATCGCGATCTTGACAAGCCCCGGGTGCGCGACCCACGTGCCGTCGTGGCCCGCCTTGGCTTCGCGGAGCTTGTCGTCGCGGACGGCGGCCATAAACTTGTCGTTGAGCGCCGGGTCGTTCTTGACCGGAATCTGCGCGGCCATGCCGCCCATCGCGTGCGCGCCGCGGCGGTGGCACGTGTGGATGAGCAGCTGGACGTACGAGGCCATGAAGGGCGTCGTCATGCCCACGGCGGCGCGGTCCGGCAGCACAAACGCCTTGTGGTTGCGCAGCTTCTTGATGAACGAAAAGATGTAGTCCCAGCGCCCGCAGTTGAGGCCGCTCGAGTGCTCCTTGAGCTCAAAGAGGATCTCGTCCATCTCGTAGCCGGCAAGGAGCGTCTCGATGAGGACCGTCGCGCGGATCGTGCCCACGGGCACCGCAAGGTACTTTTGCGCTGCCACAAACACGTCGTTCCAGAGCCGCGCCTCGAGGTGCGACTCGAGCTTGGGGAGGTAAAAGTACGGCGCCGACCCGCGGAGGCGGAGCTCGTGGACGTTGTGGAAAAAGTACAAGCCAAAGTCAAAGAGCGAGCCCGAGACGACTTGGCCGTGGATCGTGACGTGCGCTTCGTCGAGATGCCACCCGCGCGGGCGCACAAGGAGCGTCGCCGTCGTCGCGTTGAGCGTATACTTCTTGCCCGTCGTCGGGTGGTCGTACGAGATCGTGCGGCGGACCGCGTCGCGCAGGTTGATTTGGCCCGACACGATCGTCGCCCACGTCGGCGACGACGAGTCCTCGAGGTCCGCCATGTAGCACTTGGCGCCCGAGTTGAGGCCGTTGATGACCATCTTGCGGTCCACGGGGCCCGTGATCTCGACGCGGCGGTCTTCAAGGTCCTTGGGAATCGACGCGACCTTCCACTCGCTCTCGCGAATGTACTTGGTCTCGGGCAAGAAGCTCGGGAAGACGCCGGCGTCGAGCTCTTTCTGGCGCTGGACGCGCGCCTGCAGCAGCGCCTGGCGCCGGCCCTCGAAGGCCTCATGGAGGTACGCCACGAAGCGCAGCGCGTCCGGCGACAAGATCTCGGCGTACTCGGCCGGCTGCGCGCCGAGGATGCGGATGTGGGCTTGCGTCATTGTGAGGAAATCCGAAAATAAATCTTCCGGCCCCACGATGATCAAATTCCCGTTTTTCTGCATACGAAACACTACATAGCGTATATTTCCACTACTCCGACTGCTATCTCGCGTGCTCGGACGATCGCACCCGCGGCATAGGAAAAGCTGTGGGGCTACCAAGAGCGTACAACTTCAAATGGCCCCTTTAGCGCGTCCATGTCGACGCACTGCGCTGAGCGTTCATGCAAGCAATGTGTGAAGGGGCTGAAATTGCCGTTTTTCTAACGGAAATATACGTCCGAACATCAACGAAGCAGGGGATCGGGCGCCCAAGGCTGTGTACCCTCCAAGAAGGCGACATCGCGGCGTCATCCTCCCTCTTGTCGTCGACATCCGTGGGCTTCTGGGCTGTGCTTGCTCGCTCTGGCAAGGTCGGAAGGACGTTTGCGTGGTCACTAAACACAGGTAAACGCTACTATTTTGGGCAGTACCGGTCTGCGATCCTGTTCAATTGCTCGTATTGTGAGGGTCGTTCTGTTTTTGACCAGTGCTACGCACTCGCAATGTTTGAGCCCACGATTGCGCCCAGCACAACATTTTGACAAGACGCCCAGGGACGCATCGTGGACTTGGCAACGGCCTTTTGTGCTACCTTTGGTCCGACCCTCTCTAGAGCATCTCGAACTCCCGCAGTTGCGCACTTGTCCCAGCTGCGAGGCTTTCGGTTGCCTCTCTCCAGTGCGTTGAGAAAGCAATTTTCCATTGCTGTCCGAGCAATCGCGGTGCAATTTCCACGATTCGGTATCTACCATTGAAGGGATCTGGTCAAAGACGCCGATCCGGCGGCGGCGATCGAGCACATCTCCCGCCACGGTGCCGCGCCATGGCTTCCGGTATTGGTGCTGCTCGACTCTTGTGGGAAGCAAACTCGCTCAGTGTCAGTGCCACCAACGCGAATGCACAAAGTTTGCCATAACACCAACGCGCACGGTGGCTAAGCGCGCACCGTAGCCGCGTTGCTCAATGCGGTCCCACATGATTTCCTGGTCCGCTTCCAAGGTGCATTGACCGCGGGACGTAAGTTGATGGCCTCCTTGAACGTCCAATTAGTTTCGATTCAATTCGGACGGCGCTTTGCAGCACGACGCCAGCAGCTTTACATTGGGTCTCCTTGCCTCCAGTTGCCTGCAATGTTCGGTCGCTCACGTGGTTCAAGATACCAGTCGTAGCACACTGATCGACAGACAGACATCGAGCGTCGTACCCAAATGACTAGGGTCTTAGTGCTACACTGGAGAAAGACATGGCTTTGGTTGACATTTGGGCTCGATGCCGCACTCTTCATGAACAGCGACGATGATGGTCGTCGAACGATGATGCTTCAGTCGTCACAAAGCTTCCACAGGGTGGCACGGCGCCAAATACAGGGTGGGATCTACCGTCGCACCTCCCGATTATACGGTATCTCGACCCAGACCGACCGACGCTCGCTTGCATTTGACTGCCACGTCGAAGCCTAGGTCGTCAACGATAGCACTGCGCTTAGATACACGCAGTCTGGACACTGGAAGCTTGGCCTCGGAGGCTTCAGCCATCCTTGCCATGGACTTCAATCAAGTCAGTGCAGCTGGGATCCTGATACGAGGCGCTTCCGTCTCAGCCGCCTTTACCGCCAAGGCCGCAAAGCGGCCGTGATGGACTCGTGTAGCCATCTGGGCCTTCTACAAGGTGTAAGGAGCCCGCTTGCGCGCCAAGTCGCGCCGCAAGGGCGGGACGGGCCAGCTGATTTTGAATTTCGCGCCATCGTTCGGATAAACGAGCCCGTATCCAGCACCGAGCCCGCAAATCCAAGCTTGGGGTTTGTATGGACGGGGTAAAATAAAAAGACGGAGTGCCATTTTGGACGTTGCGACGGCGAGCAGAAGCCGTGGCCATGGACATGCAGGCGCGGGGTACGAGGCCGCGATGGTCCAGCACCGGACGGCGAACATGCGCAGTGATAGGCGCCGACAAGGAAAACTGGCCGCCACCCGGCGTGTGTGGGCCCAGCGAGCGCAAAACGACGGCGAGGTCGGACGACGCGATTGCTCTGGCCTGCGCCTCATGATGACACCAAATAGGACCATGGCCAAGCATGAGAAGCAACACGTAGGCGACGATCCAAGCGAGCCTTGGATAGCATTGACTCGGTCTATGTAGAGCGCCGCGACAAGTGGCAAAAGCTACTGGCCGCCAGAGGTGCGAACGCGACCGCCGTAAGAAGCATCTTCCAGCTAGCATTGTGTAGGACGACAAGAAGCTGTTGGCGCTTGTGTACGGCCTCGGCACGAAGAACTGGAACGAAATCGGCTCGCACTTTCCGCACAAGAGCGGGCGGCAGTGCCACGAACGGTACATTCTCGCGCAATGGGATAGATGGAATCGCCGACATCTGCAGGTGGAAGATGCTCTTCAACGATCCGTCGTACTTTCAGGCCATCAAGATGGATTTTGCGGCCTCGACGACGCGCCGGACGCTCGACATGACGCCTATCAAGGCGCCCGAGAAGCCCAAGTCGATCCCGGCGCTTCCCAAGCGACACTCGTCCGCCAGCCCCCTCGTGCAGAAAGTCAACAAGCTCCACGACATTGCAAACAAGCTCAAGTGCCGCCAAGAGTCGCATTCGTCGATCAACGGCAAGAGCGTCGAGATGCTCTTGTCGCCCGGCGCGGGTCAGGCCATTACGGCTGTGCCCGCCGCACTCAAGCGCAAGCTCGAGCACTGGAGCGCCATGTACGGCGTCGACGTCGACCACATGGAATACGTCACGTTCATCAAGCGTCCGCCGGCGCCGCCCTCAGGTGGCTTGACACAAATTGAAATGATTTCTGAGGTGGAGGTTAGGGTACCGGCCACGACGCATCGTTCGAGTGCCGCCGCGCAATGAAGCTGTCGCGTACGTTGTGTCTGACAAAGTATGTCGTTTTCAAAGTGGACACATTGTCTGTGACCGTAGCCAATCCCCCCACTGTACTCGAACCCAAGTAGAAGATGACGACGATGAGAATGGGGATGATGCCGATGACGACGACGCGTCATGGGCAGATGCGACCAGTGCGACGGACCTCGAGGTGCATGTGCTCGACTTTGTCGGGTGGCAGAGTCCACAACACATGTCCCTTCGGTCGCAGTTCACAGCGATCAATAACTTAGTACGAAAACACGATTGAATTTACTTGCTAAAACCCGAACCCTAGTTATGAACCTAACCCTAGTTTTCCGGACGAACAGCAGCAACAATAGTACCAGCAAAGAATAATAGGGTATTTTGCATTGGAGTCGTCGGTGTAGACCATCTGCGTGTTATATAAACATACACTCCTAATAATGTTTGTATGCATAGCCTAAAGGAAAGCACGGGTACTAAGTGTGCACGATTAGCTGTTGAATGCAGCCAACCACGCGGACGTGTCAGCTGCAAAGGCGGCCTTGGCAGCGGCGAGGGCATTGGCGTCACCGCTTCCGCAAGTAGGTGCTGCAGATGCGCTTTGAGATCCTCATTGGTCACCATTTCGAGCTACGCAAGGAGCACCTCCATGAGCGTATCTGCGTCGACCGAGAGGACGTGCACCAAGAGCGTCGCGAGGCCCCAGTCCGCAATGCCCGACTTGAAGAGCACCTGTTGCTGCATGCCCCGAACCTCTGGTTGAAGGTACGACGTGGTCGCGCCGCGCTCCAGAAGCGCTTCCGTGAGCGCCTCGATCTCGGTGCCGGCGTGAATGTAGCGGCAGTTGGCCGCCGTCGCTTGAGCGATCATCTCAGCCTTCAGTAGCAGCAGGAATGACTTGGTATAGGAGCTGGACCGCTTATGCACCCACTCGACGAGGAAGACGAGGTTGCCCATCGGGTCGTTCGGGGGCAGACAGAACGGCAGAAGAATCTTCAGCATCTCAAAGCTGCGACGGTGGGTGTTCTCGACAGCGACATTCTGTGGTTGCCCGACGCCAGCTTCGAGGAGGAGCGTAAGGGCTTTGGGCGACTGGTTGTTGCTTACGACAACCTCGAGCAAGTAGTCGTGGCGCAGCTCTGGCTGACGCGTCCAGAGCTCCAAGACCAACTCAAAATCTTCGTTGGAGAGCGCTGTCCGGATTTCATCCAGGCCATAGTACTGGAACCGGGTATCTGGGGCCACAGCGTTGTTTGTCTCTGGCGTGTGTTGGAAGCAGAACGCAACGACGTCGGCGCTGCCATGGTCCCGCACATCGTTTGCCCACGACGATGGCAGCGCGACACCTTGGGCGACGTAGAGCAGCAGGAGGGCCAGGGCATTTGGCTTGCGGATCGCATTCATGATGCCGCCACTGGTGGTCGGAAGGGGTAGCCCGCCTCGACAAGACGCTGGACGATCTCAATGTGACTGTGATCAAGGGCTCCTTGCACGACACTGTCTCGGCTTCCGCCTTCGCGTCGAAGCGTCAAGAGATAGTCCACGACATCGAGATGCCCGTTCTTTGCGGCTTCGTTGACAGCGGCGGGCGAGCACGCAAGACGCCCGAGCTCGTCCAGATGGATGACAACGTTTAGATGGCCGTTGGCGGCCGCGGTGTCCAGTGCGTCAGGCGACGCGCCCTCGTCACAGTGCGCCACGAGAAATCGGACAATGCCCAAGTGTCCTTCGGCTGCCGCTCCACTGAGCGCTGCCATCGTGCAGCCTTCACTTCTCTTCTCGTGTAAGAAGATGACGACGTCGAGGTGGCCGTTGGCAGCGGCGTTGTCCATGGCTTCGGTCGTGCAGCCTTCAGCTCGCTTCTCGTGTAAGAAGATGACGACATCGAGGTGGCCGTTGGCAGCGGCGTTGTCCATGGCTTCGGTTGTGCAGTCGAGTCCGCGAGCGTGCAATGCCTCGACCAAAGACAAATGGCCTTGCCCAGCCACCGCGTCAAAGAGGCCATGAAGCGCCGACGTCGGCAGGTGCTCAATCAAAAACCCAAGTACGTCAAACGCGTTGAACCCGAGCGCTGCACGTGCGACGTCGTTGCTGTCCCAATCGCGTTGCCGGTGCGCCCAGAGTAGCGCCAAAATGGACACGTCGTTCTTGTAGAGCGTCGAGTGGCAAGAAGGCAGCCAGTCGTCGAGAAGCCGCGACGGCCGACCGCGGAACTCGTCTTCAAAGTTGCGGTTGAGCTCTGGCACACGCGTCGCCCGCTGCTCCAAGAGGTACGTGGCGATGTCGAGATGGTCGTGGTGAATCGCAGCTTCGATAGCCTCTTGGTACGCGAGGTCGGGGCGGCAGCGCAAGATGCTTGTGGTCGCCGCCAGATCGCCTTCGAGTATCGCCAAGTGCAGCGGGAAGCGAGGGTCCCGCGTGTTGTGCAAATTGAGGTAGAGCTCTTCCGTGGTGAGAGCATCGGGCGGCGCATCTGGGTTGTTCCATTCACGGTACGAGGTGCGGAAGAGCCCTGGGTCGAGCAAGTAGACGCCCTCGTACTGGCCCTGCGTCGCTTCAAAGTCGACAAGGTGGTGGAAGTCGCGGAATCGAGTCGCGGCGCCTTGGCAGACGCCATCCTGGTAGCCAGTGACGACGGCAAACAGCTCGCGCTGGTGCAGCACCGCGTCGACGAAGTATTGGTGAGTTGGCCAAAG